AGACTTTTATTCAGCTCCAGGAAAGTTCAGCACTTGTGGGGTAGACATTCAAAACAAACTCTACCACTATGTGATGGTCAAAGCTGGTTTCAGATTTAAGAGCTATAGAAATCTTTAACAATAAAATAACATCTTCCCCCTCTGCATATGATATTAAGCAAATGCTATATATAATGAAAACAGTATACATATGCCATATAGCAAATGAACGTGTAGCCTGAGTGTATTGCACATTTTCACCATATGGCTTTTGTTTAGAAAAAAAATACTTTCAGGCTTACCTCTCTATGCATCATAACCTGCATTGATTACAGGAGCAAATACACCAGCATCCTACTACATCCTTTAGACTTACACACACAAACTCCCAAAGTTATTAGATTGCAATGGTCCAATATCCAATGCACTGGCTCAGTATATTCCATGCGTAAGTTTGCAGGAATGTGCAAGGTTAGTAAATGTCCCTGATATAACAGTTTCCTTTAGTAATTTCCACAGTGTTTTTAATAATGCTTAACAACCGCGATTTAAAAGAAAACCTCCCCCACTCCAGACGCACTGATGGATTAATGGTACTGGTATATTATCAGATAAATACCTACTACATATTAGTCATTTTAGCTGATTAAAGCATTTAGAGATGATTAATCTTTCTAAAGCACATGCCCATGCGATCAGCAGATCTAAGGTGAAGTGACAGCTAAAGAAGCACTTTGGATTGAAATGCTCAGCCTGGTATGGATTATGATATTTTGCGCCCCCAGAATCAACCAAAAGACCTGGGTAAAAAGCTGAAAGTGGAAGAAAAATACCTTGACACCTTCTGATGAATTATCTACCCTACGGTCTATGTTTTACAAAGAAGACACCATTCTTCTCCAATCAAAGGAAACAAATACTGTACTAATGAGATGCAGCTCCCGGAGACACAGTTTCTCCCTTTCATTCTCCAGATATTTTAAATGTGTGGGGATAAATTAACGCTAATGATGATGATAATGATTGTGATGCAGCTCTTCTTGAGTCAGTGAAATATCCATTACAATTGTTCGGAGGGATCGTTGTTCCTAGTCCTAATAGATCAATAAAAATGACCTTTTCTTTTGCCTTTCCCATGTACACCTCTCCTCCTCCCCCCTTTCCCCACACAAACTTAACATCAGAAAGACGCATTTAGGGAGAGAAATGGGAAGGGGATACAAATCCTTAAGATCAACTTGCCAATGAAACCTTTAGCTGTAGGAAAGGGGAAATGGAAGAAAAGAGAAATACCATCTGCAATTAAAGCCATGATCTAATTGGGAAGAAGGGGGAGAGAAAGAAAAAAAAAGAGAGCTACATTGCAGTATCCCTCAGTCCTCCCTCTGTCTTTTGCAAATAGCTACATAAGTTCTTTCTGTTCTGCAAGGGCTGTAATAAAAATGATGGTGGCGAGGTGGGGGGAGGAGGAGAAACAGAGTGTGTGTGTGGGGGGGGGGGGTGTCTTTGAAGCTAGGCAGAAAGAAGAGGATCCAGAAGGCTTGTACTTACCGGTTTGCAGGAGAGATTTTAGTGCATCTAAAAATAAATAAATAAATAAAAAATTTAAAAGCTCCAGTTTAAGGATTGCTGGTTTCACTCTGTCTCTTTCTGTCTCTCTCTCTCTCTCTACTCCTGCTGAGGCTGAGGCAAAAGGGATAAAAAAAAAAAAAAAAAGCAAGCAAGCCTGAAACGTGCTGGGAATGCAATGAGCTCCTCAATGAGCTTCTTTAGGATGCAGAGCTGCTGTTTGGCACACTCAATGGAGGAGAAGGGGGCTGCTGCAGGCTCCCTGCTCTGGTGCTGCTTCCTTTGGGCACCAGCAGCCCATCGTTGGGAGGGAGAGGGAGGGAGGCTCAATCACAGCGGAGAATCTCGGGCTTCTCTCTCTTTTTCTCCTGGTGTGTGTGTTGTTGTTGCCCTGGATCAGGCTTTTCCACGTCATGAAAATGAGCTTCAAGAAGGGGAACAAATGAAGGGGGCGCGCTTGGCACCCGGTCGGGGGCGCGCATTTGGGAAGCCCTGACTGTACAGTTTTTTTCCAAGGGGGGATGGTAAGTTGGGGTGGGGAGGAGTGGGAAAGAATCAGACTGGGGCAAGCCAAGAAGAATGAGGGAGCAAGGAAAGAACAGCCGCCAGGAAAGAGCCACAGTTCCCCCTCACCCCAACTCTCGAGGCAAAAAGATCCCCCCCGGTTGCCAGCTGCGAATTCCGGCCAGGCGCTCGGGCTGCGGGTGGCTCCTTGGGAGAAGCGAATGAATCTCTGGCCAGCTGCCCCCGGCCAGGTTCCTCTCCGCGCGCAGGCGGCCCCGAAGCTAAGAGATCAGTTTCTGCAGAGCCGCAAGGAGCCGCGCTCCATCGCACCTGGAGGTCCCAACGTGAAAGCTCGGGAAGCCCCGGCAGCCTGCGTGACTTGAACAAGGTGGTTCCTCTCGCCTCGCATCTCCTCGCTCTCTTTGATCCCTTTGCACCACGAGCTCCCCCACCCCACCCCACCCCCCGTTTTTTTTTTATTGTGGTGCTGCAGCTCCAGCCTTCAATCTTCCCCCGGATCCAACAGCCTCCTGTTCGCTTCCAGCTGCAAAAGGAGGCAAAGCAAATCGCAGGGAAGAGACCCGGAATCGCTTGGGTAGCAGCGACACATTTTGCATTCTGTCACCGAGCAAGGCATCAAAAAGAGAGAAGAGGAGGGTTTAACTCCTGAGCTGCCGCGAGACGTTGCCGTCTGGCTTTGTGTGAACGCGCGGACTCGGCGCTGCCCGAGAAGAGAACCCTGCACCACGCTGGCTGGAGGGAGGCAGGTGATGTGGAAGGCAGTCAAGTGATGGGGTGAGAAGGAGAGTGAGGAGGTAGGTGGGCATACAGATAGCTAGGAGGATAGCTGTGGTTGAAGTGATGGACATGGCATGCCAGATAGATGTCAAGAAGAATTAATAGGGATGCAAGTGGCGAGCATATGGGAAAGGAGGGGAATTAAGGGAAGATGGCAAAGAGGAGAGTGGCAGGGCGGGAGGAAGGTGGGGGGGGGGGGGGGGGGGGGGGGGGTTAGATTATCGGTTAGTTAAGAGCTGCCAGCCGGCAGCAGATCACTGGCGGGAGCCCCTTCAGCTGAGACCGAAGTCTGTCCAAAATTATCCTTGGCTGAAACTTAGCTGGCAAGATCGGTTGTCAGGGGCGAAGTGCTTTTTAAGCAGCAGCGAGACTGTGGGGTCAGGAATGCACAGCTCAGTCCCTCCTTGGCTGGGCATTTCAAAGAGCAAATACAAGGGTTTTTTCCAGCGCAGGAGGACAGGGAGATGCGATATACAGCGTCCACTTCCCGGATTTGTCCCACTCCGACAGTTCGCTGACACTTGGCCATGCATGCACATGGGAGACACCCGGAAAAGGGGGGCGCTCGCTCAGGCATCCTACTCTCCCACCTCTGTTGGGAGCTACACGCGAGCTTCCAAGCAGGCGGCTCATCTACCATCCCTTCTGCAAGCCATAGCGCCCAGGTCCAGAGAGTCGTAGCCTTCGGTCTGGTCTTTAACCGAGTCTTTAACGTTGTTATTCTACCGTTTCCCTTTCTCCGCTCCGCATGCCGGAGAGCGGCTTGGCTGGAATCCTTGAAAAGGCAGCAGGTTGGTATCAAAAAGTTAGGCGAAAAGCCCAGCTGTCAGGAGCACACATGCGCCCGCTCTGTTAAGACCAGGCGATCCCCCCATTGCTTTACCCCCTCCTCTCTCCTTCCCCCCTTCCCGTCTCCTCGGATCAATTACAGCCCCAGATTCTTTTAAACATCCGAAGCGCTCAATATGGAAGCAGCACTGCTTGCTAATTAAAACGCTGCATCATTCACTTTCTGCAGCTCTCAGGAGCAAAATGTGGTGCTGTCAGGCGACAGGCACTTGCTACTTCTCAAAAGGTTGCGGGGCGGAGGAGGGATAGAATAAGAAAGTGGGAACAGTTTTATTAGGTCTCTAAAGAAATCAGAGGGAGGAAATACCGAAGCCGATTGTATGTGAATGCCTGTGATTCTTGCCACGGGTCTTTCTTTCTCAGCTGCCTTAGCAACGCCCTCGGGTTAGAAATACATTCCCCAGGGGCTGTGATTTGGCCCACCCCACAGCGCCCATTTCAATACATCTGTTCGCAAGGCCGCTTGCGAGTGCTGACCACTGCAATCAGGCTCAGTTTTCCTGGGCTAACGATTTTCATTGGGAAAGTAGCAAACGAGCGCGGTTACTACCGATCCGGGCTGAGAGCTTTGCTCTCAAAGGCTGGGCGACAGTCGAACTCTTTTGTTCTGCATCCCTAATGCCCTAACCTTGACTTCCCCCTCTCCTCCAGTCCAGCAACTCTGAGCAATGGCACCACATAAGGCTTGTCAGTCTCTTCAAGTTCTGCAGCCGAATCGGGAAGGGTGAGGCCGAGGGGACGGGGGAGGATGGGGGGACGACGGTGGATTTGAATGCAAATAGAGAAGGGTTGCATGGCCCCTCAGTATCACAGTACAGAGCACTGGGAGTCAAAGTCTGTCGGCCGAAGCTCCCAAGGACACTCCGCCCCCCCTTTCATTGTAAACCGGAGTCCACTCGGATGCAGCAGGAAAGGATTTGGTCCCCAGAAGTACCGCGGTGGGCTGCTCCTCCTGCTGTCTCCCCTCCCCTCTGACAGGATGTTACACGATGCAACCTCTGCCTGGATCCTCCCTGAGTCCGCGGGAGGTGGGGTATTTCCCTTCAGCCCCCCGCCCTTTACCCGGCCGCGGTGAGTGCGGGGAAAGGAGGGCAGACCTAGCTGCTGTATCTCAGTCTGAGGCAGGCGGCGAAAGAGCCCGGGGCGGGGGAGGGGGCGAGGAGAATCCCTGGGGTTCTAGATGCTAAGTCTGCAGTTTGGAGGTAGGGTACTGCAGTCAGATCACCGGGCGAAGGATTGCAACCAGCCAGCGTGTCAGGTAACAACTCAGCACTAGGGGGATCTTCGAGGAGGGAGGGGAGATTCCTTAGATGGGAGACAGAGGCGTCTTCCAAGGCAGAGCTGCTTCCAAAGTGCTACTCAAGGGCCAGGAGTTAACCGGGATTTACCAGCAGCTGGGAGCAGCCTGTGCGAGCGAGGTTGTTATGAAAGGAGGAACTGCTTGCCTGAGCCGGAATCGGACTTACCACCTGCGTGTTTAGCTCTTGTTCCCACCTATGTGATGAACTAGTACCAAAGGAGATCCCCAATCCCCTGCCTCCCCCACACACCAAGAATTTCCACCTTTCCTCCTCCCGCAAGGAATATGGAAATCGCAGAGAGGTCATTTCAGAAACATCTCTGCTCAAGCAAAGAAAGGCAGAAAAGCCTGTATGCTTCTGCTTGTTGGGTCGACGTACAACCTGCTCAGGCCAAGAGCCATGTTACACGATTAGCAGGGGCATATGTCACAGCGATATAGCTTAGAATGGGACTGCAGCCCTTTTCCTATTTTGATTTTAACTGGTAAATTTTGCTTCCTTGCAAAATCGAACCCAGTCCTAGGGCTACAGCCTCAAAGAGCGTCTGCGTGCAGGCTGACTGAAGCCCTTCATCTATTTGCAATGCACTCTTCCGCCTTTGCTGTAGCAGTTAAAAAGTCTCCCTGTAACAACACTAACAGTAAAAGAGCCGTGGACAACTTTTGTGAGAAATCAGACCAGGGCACTTGAACAATCTTTGCACTTTTTTGAAAAGTACTCGTGCCACATTCCATTTCCACTGGAGGCAACCATTTCCCACACTGCAGTCATTCCAATGCAGACCTTTAATGCTTTCATTCAATCTGCAGTGTAAACTAACTCGTTTCCTTTTTAATAGACCCCCATCCATAAGTGGCAAGGGTTGGGAGAAAGAGGGAGATTTCTACCCAGCTTTCTCCACCTGACTAGAAAAACATTCCGAGGTTTAATAGCCTCATCTACCTCCAGCAATCTGTAGCCAGGGTGAAGGTAACAAATAGTGCCAGGACAAGGGAAACTCATGGTTTCTGTAACTATTTTATACAAAAGCTGCTTTCTTGCTTTCTCTAAATTTTGGAAAACCACCAGCGTGCAGTTTAGGCTTTGCAAGAGTGTTCTTGATCTTTATTCACAACTGTATTTTAGGAACCATCATAAGCCCGTACAGTGTTTCAGGGTCTTCCTGGATTTCTGTGTAACCACCCTTGTAGTATGCAGGGAACACAGGCACAGGTTGCAGAGAAGGGACACAATGGGAGCAGCACTGAGAAGAGAGTCATCAGCCCAGGTGAACATGTGATATCCCAAGTAGGAGGATGTTAAAGAAAGACACAAGTAGGCTGTGAAGCTGATTAATTTGTGAAACAAAATCTACATGTAAAAGTGCTCAGGAAAGATATCAGCTGGGCATCCTTGGAGATTGGAATTCTCTGTTTATTTACAGATCAGGTACCATGGGGATAATTCACACTCCTCTAAGCCATCCAGTGTGCTTCACTCTGCACCTAGAGGGACCTACATTTGGGAGCACACTTCACCCTCTGTGCCCACTCAGGTTTTGGTCTCTCTCTTGAGAATGCTATCAAAGATGTAATGGAATGCCAACTGCCATGGCGATTTTGTGCTGAGGACATCTTTCCATTAGGAGCTCAGGGCCAAATACCTCTCCCGTTGCAATATAATGGATGCTCTTAATGAGTTCAGATACAGGAGAAATTGCTAGATGGAGACCACCTGGGCTTTTCCCAGGCCATAAGATAGCAGCCACATGATAATGTCATTAGTGATGACCTGGGCTAAAATCAAACCTGAGAGGAAGATGAAAAAGGCTTCAGATCCTATTACTAATCCATTACTGAGCCACTTATTTGCTATACTGCTTTGTCTGTTCTGTTAAGATAAATGTAGTTAAAATTGTTTTTTTTCCTAAGGGGGGAAAACTGACTCTAGGCTTATGTATGTATAGATAGTTTAGACTGAGAAATTCTAGTGAAAATGTTCAAAAAGAAGAACTACTATATAGTATTTTGGCACAATATGTTAATTTGTTACTTTGTGTGATATAAATCTGCCTTTTCAACATTTTTTGGGGTCATTTATCACGTGGAACAACATTTAGCCAATTTTCCACCCTACTGTGGGCAAGAACATTTATCCTAGAAGCTGAGTGAAACTGGTCTTATCCTATTTTAGAAACCAAGATCTCCTTGCTACTATACCACTATATTAAATCAATTTCAAGTGGAAATGAACTATGTTATTGGTGTTGGGACATATATGGTAAGATACAAAGGATTGATTCTTCCAATCCTGAACCCACTGAAGTCAGAGTAAATATTCCCATTGACTACAAGGTGAAAAGAATGGGACTTTATGGACACAATCCAATTTCCACTGAAATTAAAGGGAGTGGCTTTCCATCAATTTCAACAGGAGTTAGATAAGGCCCTAAATTAAGATGATTTACATAGGACCATAAAGAAAGTTCATACTGGGTCAGACCAAAGGTCCATCTAACCCAGTATCATGTCTTCCAACAACGGCCAATGCTAGCTGCCCCCAGAGGGAATGAACAGAACAGGTAATTATCAAGGGTACATCTACACAGCAGCGTTATTTTGGAATGACTGATATTATTTCAAACTAACATAGTGTGCATCTACACAGCAATTCATTATTTCAAAATAATGTTGAGATGGTGGATTTCTCACACACTCCAAAACTTCAGCTACGTAATTGACATACACAAATTCAGCTATCTTAATTCGACTTTTGCCCTGCAGTGTAGACGTGTCCCAAGTGATCCCTTCCCTGCCATCCATTTCCAGCTTCTGACAAACAGAGGCCAGAGACACTATCTCTACTCATCCTGGCCAATAGCGTTTCAGCCTTGTTCAACTGAAGGCTAAACATCCTTTGCACCATACAATACATATATCTAGGCTGATATTTCATTTATAAATCTAAACACAGATTAGCTTCATTATGTAAGTATTTGTGAACACATATCAGATTGATGATACATAAAACTGAGATTTCCATGAGGGAATTAGGTATCCACATGCATTGAAATTCTTTCAGATTAGGGCACTAAGTTCCCTAAGGGCCATTCGAAAACCCAAGCCATATTTTTATAATGATTTAGATATTAGCAAATAATTACATTTTACCTTACAGAGTACTAATCTATATTTTCTATGGTAGATCCATTGTAACTGATACAGCAGAATGACATGCAATGTATTTCTGTTATATGAGATCAAAGTTACAGAAATGTAAGTTATCCTTCATTACCTACTATTTGAAAGGTCCTAAAATTTATGTTGAATCTATGAACAATTTTCATGTAGTTTACACAGAAAACTCCTTACACACAGGGACCTTGAGACAAATTATATGAAATCTATTTACAGACATAGGAATTGTTTGCTGCAAAATATTTTAAGGTCTGTGTGAATATTAAAATTAAAATATTGAAATTAGTGAGGATTCAGACTGAGCAGCAAACACTATCAAATGTAATGAAATACTTTTAAGAAAGAGAAATAGGCCATATGGCAATCTTTTACACATCCTCTATACATGTCAAAAGATGCATGTGTTCTGGAACACCAAATTTAGCGCCCTCTGAAAAAATTTAAGTGTCAGTAGCTTTCCTTCTTCAAGCTTGATATTTTAGGGTGCTGGAGGACTTGGTATTACCCATTAACATAAAGAAATGGATTGCAGTAACTATTTAATAGCCAAAGGAGTTATTCTGAGAAAATGGAAATCTGCAATTCCTCCCTCATACACAGACTGGCTTAGTGAGCAATCTGTTACAGCATTAATGGAAATAAATGACTCTGTCTAATAGAAATGCTTGGAAAAAATATGAGCATGTCTGGTCATGCATAAAACTACTGCACACTTTTGAACTATAGTATATATTAGCCCCCAACACTTATAGGTTATGTTCTCAATTATTTATCTATTTAGTCACTATAATAACTAATACCCTGCATGACCTCTATGGGTTGGTTTGCTTGTTTTTTCTTGTGTTTATTCCAGGTTTTGCAAATATTGAATGCTGAATGTTGTTATTCATATGCTACTTCTATCTTGTGCATATATTTATACATGTTTATACATATTTTATATATGTTTTCCACATGTTTTAAGTATTTATATTTTATATAAAATAAGGTAAACAAAAGAAAGAAAAAGGTACACAAAATTAGCTAACACAGTAAACAGATGCATGGTACTTCATGTATAAAATCCATGCCAACTAAATATTTCAGGAGCAATTTTTAACTAATAGTACAATTGTCTTGAACATTTGCTCTGCTATATTAGGCATAGATAAATCATCCTTTCTACTTTAGCATACAACCCACTCTTTTTTAAATGTCTAAGCATATATTTTGGCTATTGTCAGGAAACACCCCTCCACTTCATGGGTGAATTTCTCATTGACCTTTATTAGGATAATATACAGCCATGATTATATATGTGCAATTCCCTGTGACATCCATGAGAGTTTCATGCATGGATCAAGGCAGAATAAACCTCTTAGGGTGTTTCCAGAAATAATGAACTATCTCTGTTATAGTACAGAAATGTGGCTTCTTCTGACGCTTTCATGCTCCAAATAGAGATTGCTGCAGCGTGTAACCACAACAACATTGGCAATCAAGCTACTGCATCTTTTTTTGGTGAAACTGCTTTTAGGACAGTCCTGATATTTGAGGTTATGTCTTATTGCCCCCCATCTTCTGTCCCCCAGTTACTTGCTATCTAGTAACTCTAGATATGAAGGAAGGACGTAGATTTGTAAATTCTTTCCACAGCAAGCTAATAACCAAGTGGCAAGAAGGAAGAGGATTTAAAATGAGAGCTCCTGCCCTGGGGATGTGCTAAGATTCTTCGGCAATGAGTAATGTTATCTTCAGTTCCCTCCAAGTAGAAGATTTCATCCAACATCCCAGTGTACTCACTCTAAAAGTAGCTAGTTTATGTGTAGTAATTTCCATTTTGCAACCACTAGTGCTGAATGTGTTTTTCACAAGTGTATTTGTCTTTTGTGCAAGCCACGTTTTTTACGTCATTCATGTATGTGAAGATATAGATTGCATGTGTATTTGTCTTTTGTGCAAGCCACGTTTTTTACATCATTCATGTATGCGAAGATATAGATTGCCCAAGTACGCACTGGAATCAAGAGTACAGTTTTGCAAGGCATCATTTTATGGTTAGAATTGCCATAATTAGAAACATCAGCATGGACACATCATGTCATGGCAATTCATCAGTATTATACTATAATGCAAATCATTTTACAAAGTGTATTGATAGACGCTGCTTCTGTGTTGCTGAATACAGTGTGAAGAAAGACACTGCTGCTTATATGAAAGCTCACATTTGGAAAAGAAAAGGAGGAAAGAATGTGATGTAGGACAATTTAACAATCCTGATCTGCCCTTTCCTTTGGGAAATGTCTGCCCCCAGTGTCTCATTGTCTGTTGATGCTAGATAGGTCTCATTAGTCATGGGCCGGCCTGCCAACCATAACTTGCTATCATTCTATTGGAAGATGATTATTCTCAAATTCCAAGGGACTGCCAACACATGGAATTGCTACTTTGATCAATACTGATCCTATTTTCCATGAAGTTTATGGCAAATTTCCTGTTGGTTTCAGGGGTACAATATCAGACCCATAAGAAGTTGATCAAATAACCACTTGGACAGCAGCCAAACTGACATTTTTTTCTAGTATCCATTGAAGTAAATGTCATGAAACAGCCAAATATGCTGTATATTGCATGGGAGGATTGTTAGAATAAACACTTATTTGTTCAACAATCCAATCTATGGCTACGTCTACACTGGCATGATTTTCCGAAAATGCTTTTAACGGAAAACTTTTCCGTTAAAAGCATTTTCGGAAAAGCACATCTAGATTGGCAGGATGCTTTTCCGTAAAAGCACTTTTTGCGGAAAAGCGTCAGTGGCCAATCTAGATGCGGTTTTCCGCAAAAAAGCCCCAATCGCCATTTTCGCGATCAGGGCTTTTTTGCGGAAAACACTACTGTGCTGTTACACTGGCCCTTTTGTGCAAAAGTCTTTCAGAAAAAGACTTTTGCCCAAACAGGAGCAGCATAGTATTTCCGGAAAATCACTGACGATCTTACATGAGATCGTCAGTGCTTTTCCGGAAATTCAAGCGGTCATTTGATTTTGCGGAAAAACTTGCCAGTCTAGACACAGCCCTCGTGTTTATATCATGTTAATTGCCATGGTGTCTGAACTATTTAGAAAAACTATCGAAAGTCAGCAACTAGACCAAATAACTAAATTAAACACACTCGCTTTCATTCTCTCCTCCTTTCTTCCTGCACATAGTTGAAATCCTAGCCTCACTGAAGTCAATGGGAGATTCATTATTGACATTAGAAAGCCCAGGATTTCACTCTGTTACCTTCTTTTCTTCTTCTTCCATTTCTCCCTCTTTTTTCTCTTAGAATCTTCTATTAGGTTTAGTTATTCTTTTCAGTTATTAAAATTTAGGATGTAGATGTGGGCTTTATCTTTCATTCCAGAATCAGCCAGATGTATAGTCATTGTAATCTCTCATAGAAGGTCATGCGCCAGATGTTCACATCACCTGTTCCTGCAAGCTTTACCCTCCTCTATTGTTCTTGATGACACAGCTGTTTTACTATAGACTGATATTGAATACAAGGGCAGTAATTTCTGATCCAACATCAGTTCAACTCAGCTAAGATTTTGAAAATCAAGAGAGGTTTACTGATTTGACCTAAGTTGTGTTGAACTAATTGAAGTCAAAGGAGTTATGATGGTATACAACTGGTATAAAAGAGTGAAGAATCAGAGAGTTCATAGGACCTTGAATATCATCTAATATATTACATTAGTCACTACAGTATTCAGATTTCTAGCAATCAATGGCTAAATACATAATAATGCTTTTGAGACAATATTTTTAAACTGAAGTCAATCCTTTCCTGCTTTTTTGTTACAAAAAAAGTGTTTTCAGCTAATACAAGTTGGAGCATTCTGGAGAATAAAAAATAATCAAATAATTCATTTATTTGATTACTACTTTACTTAATGTATAGTGAAAGGTATATAAGATCGTCAGTGACTTTCCGGAAATATTATGCTGCTCCCGTTTGGGCAAAAGTCTTTTTCTGAAAGACTTTTGCGCAAAAGGGCCAGTGTAAATAGCACAGTAGTGTTTTCCGCAAAAAAGCCCTGATCGTGAAAATGGCGATCGGGGCTTTTTTGCGGAAAAGCACGTCTAGATTGGCCACGGACGCTTTTCCACAAAAAGTGCTTTTCTGGAAAAGCATCCTGCCAATCTAGATGCGCTTTTCCGAAAATGTTTTTAACGGAAAACTTTTCCGTTAAAAGTATTTCTGGAAAATCATGCCAGTGTAGACGTAGCCACAGAGTTTACAATTTAACTACATATCTACATGAATGCATATATGGCCATCCTTTTTTTTGTGCTAAAAACTACTACCACTGTATTCATATGCAAGACAATCTGGAGCCTGATTCTGGTCTCTCACCAGTTTTTTAAACCCCAGAGCTCATTAGTTTCAA